GATCAAAACTGCTGTTCTACCACACCCAGTTTTGAAATAGCACTGGGCAATTAAAAAGTTAACAGGAGGGAATGGTCCACAAGTAAAATCTTTCCCTCAATGATGGGCAAACCCAACACATCAGTGCTTAAAAAAAATCCTGAAGCATTTGCAACCATATTCATTAGAAGTGTATAATGAATGATCTATCTCGGCCTGCTTCTGATGGACCCTGGCGTCACTGTCCTGTTCTCAATTATCAGCAGAATGATGGAAGGTGTTATTGTCAGTGCTATCATGTGGCAGTCAGCAGTAACCTGCTCACTGATGTTCTGTTTGGATTCTGCTAGGACGACTTGGCTCCTGACTTCATTACAGCCGAGGTCATTGATTGAATTCGAGGTTAAATGAGAATACCTGCTAATTAATATCAAAGCAATTTTTGATGTTGCGTAGTAACAAAGTTCCCTATTAAAACTGGAAGTCGGTGGTAATCGGAAAGAAAATTGTTTACTGCTTGGAGCCATACCAGGCACAAAAAACATGTTTTTTGGGGTCACTCGTCTCAATCCTAGGGCTGCAGGCATTCCACAGGATATTACCTTGGGTCCAGTTATCTTCACCTGCTTCATCAATAACATTCCTCAGTTGTAAGTAATACAATTTGCAACTCCTCAGCATATAAGTAAGCCAAGCTTATATGCAGCAAACCCAGACAACATTCAGGTTTGGGTTTATAAGTGGCAAATAACTTTTGCATCCCACAAATGCCAAGCAGTAGCCATTCCCAGCAGGACAAAATCTAATCCTCTTCTCTTGACCTTTCTTCAAGGGCCTTACCATTGCTGAATCCCCTACTGTCAACTTTTTGGGGTGTCACCTTTGGCCAGAAGCTGAACTGGACCAGCTGTATCAATACTGTAGGTACAAGAGCAGGTCAGAGGAAGGGAACTTAGCAGTGATTAGCTCACCTCCCGACTCTTCAAACCTTGTCCCTCATATACAAGGCACAAATCAGGATTGTAATGCAATATTCTTCACCTGCCTGTCCAACAAGACCCCAGAAACTGAATACCAATATTGGATGATGTAAAGACCTTGCTGAGGACCCTTCCACCACCTTAAATGTTTATTCCTTCCAGCACTGGTGCACAGTGACCCCAGAATGCACAGTTTATAAGTTCCGCGATAGCAAATCATCAAACCTCCTTTCCGCTCCACAGCCTCTATTACAGAAGGACAAGGGCAGCAGACACTTGGGATGCCATCACCTGAAAGTTCCCCACGAAGCTTCAGTATTCTGACTTAGAACAATTTCACTGCCCCTGCACTATTGATGGATTAAAATCTTGGGACCCCCTTCCTAATGGCTTTGTGGGTTTACCAGATGGACTGCAGTTTTTCAAGAACAGGAACAGAGATGAGAGATTTGGCTTGCAAAGAGAAAATGAGCAGTGCAGAGTATAGACCTGAAGAGTTAAGAAGAATGAGTGGAGATCTAATTGAGGTATGTACAATGCTAAAGCAATTTGACAAAGTAGATATCGAGAGGATGTTTCCTTTTGTGAGACACTCTAGAATGAGAGCTCATACTTTTCGAATAAGGGGTATAAATCTGTAAGGCACATACGTGATGGAATACTGTCCACTTGCCTGGATGGATGCATCTTCAAAAACACTCAAGAAGCTTGACACCATCCAGGACAAAGCAGCCAATTTGTTTGGCACCTGATTCATAAGCACCCACCCACTCTTTCCACCATCGATGCTCAATAACAGTCATGTGCACTGTCTACAAGATGCACTACAGAAATTCACCAAAGATCCTTAAAAAGCTCCTTCCAAACTCACAATCACTTCCACCTACAAGGACAAAGGCAGCAGATACATGGGAACACCACTACCTGCAAGTTCCCTTCCAAGTCCTTCACTGTTCTGACTTGGAAATATATTCTGTTCCTTCATTGTCACTGGGTCACAATCCTGGAATTCCTTCTCTAAGGGTCACCCTACAGCATGTGAACTGCAACAGTTCAAGAAGGCAGCTCACCACCATCTTCTCAAAGGTAGCTGGGAATAGGCAATAAATGCTGGCCAGCCAGCGATGCCCACATTCCACGAGTGAATTAAAAGCTTAAGACAGAGTTGAGAAATTATTTCTCTCAAAGGGTAATGAATCTGTGGAATTGCTACTTCAGACTGTGGTGGATGGCAGGACATTGAGTAAATTTAAAGAGGAGATAGAGAGATTTTTAAATTAGTAAATGGTTGTAGGTTACGAAGAGCTGGCAAGAAAGTGGAATAGAGGCTGAGATAAGATCAGCCATGATTGTATTGAATGATGGAGAAGGCTCAAGGGGACGAGTTGCCTACTTATGCTTTTATGTAAGAAGATGAGTCGCCATCACCTTCTCAAGGGCAATTAGAGGTGGGCAACAAATGTTGACCTTACCAATGATGCTTATGCCCATGCAGACAATTTTAAAAGATCTTCTGGCACTTGCTGTAAAAATTACGACACCCTTGGTGCACTTGTTATCAGGGTTTCAGAAACTTTGTGTGTGGAAATGGAACCTTGTATGTGAATGCTATCATATTTGGAACCCAGAAATACACTGCAAATTTTAACATCATTCTAGGTACCCTTAAAAGTACACTCACTCCCTGGGACTGTCAGTGAACAGTTACGTATTCATAGGTAGCAATTGCAAGTATTGACCTATCCCTGGGAAATACCCCAACTATTGATGAATTCCAGTGGACCTCCGCAAATCATGACACTTGATGCCTCCCCAGGGAGGCCAAGGGAAGTGCCTGTTCAGGAACTTTTTGCCTTAACTTCAGAAAATCAATACCAGCTACCCAAAGAATATGACCCTAAAGTAAAAATGAAATGACAATACTGGAGATCTGGAATGGAAAAAACAAAGGTGATGGAGAAACCTAACAAGTACAGCACTCTCTATGTAGAAAGACTTCGAATTAACATTTCATGTCCAATATGTCTGGTCTTAGAATTGATTTAATATTTCAAATCCAATATGACTCTTCTTTGGAACCAAAGACCTGCTGAGTTTCTCCAGCATTTTCTGTTTACATTGCAAAGGAATTTAAGGTTACTGTACGAAGCTGTTCTTATTAATTTACAACAAAAGAATATGTCAGTAAACTCTAGAAATTTGATTTGGGACGGAAATGTGTTGACCTTGAGATTTCCCTGGGATCTATTTGTGCACAGCCTTCAGGAATGAGACCAAAAATATGAGGAGCTTTTACTTATTGTCAATTACCTGTCCAATGCGGGTTTGTAGTATAGTTATTATTTGGACTTCTGGATTCTAAAGTGGAGGAAAATGGATTTTAATGTGTATGGAGGTAACATTTTCAAAAATTTCAGAAGGTGGTTTTGGAACAGCAAATTCAAACATGATTTCCAAGAATGCATGTGACTTAAGTGATGAAGATTTTAGAGTTGAACTTTTATGCCCTGCACAGAATCAAATGGTAAGGGACCACTCGTAGGTTAAGTTCAGGAGAAAAGTCATCTCAGCGATGATGAACAATTATTTTTTGTGATGTCAGTTGAGCAATAAATATTGGATCCAGGCCACAGAAGTTAATTGCCATCCTTTTCAAAATAGCACCACGCAATCTTTCACTTTCATCCGAGAGGGCAAGCGGAACCTCTTTTGATATCTCAGCTAAAAGGGAGCAACTCTGAGTGTATTGAAGTGGAACATGAGCCTGAAACCTTCTAATTCAGAGATGCAAGTGATACCTATTAAGCCACAAAATCTGTCTTGTTTGGTAGCCTCCATCTCATAAGATGGTGGCTTGCATCCTGATGAGGAGCTCTGTAGTGTGATGACAGTTCTGTGATTTATATAAATTAATATTAGTTATGAAGTTTAGATTTCAAGTAATGGTACATGGACATTGGTTTCTTTTGTGAAGTTTTTTTTTAAGTCAATTGTCCTGGAACAGTGGCCTAATTCAATATGTATCAAAGAACAGGTGATTGCAAACTCTGGAGTCTTAGTGTGATCAGAGGTTTATACTGAGAGTTTTATGATGCTAGAAGAAACATTGAAGGATTACCTTGTTTTCACTTCACAATAATTAAAGATGATAGTCTTCCTGCCAAAGTAAAGTAGCTCAAACAGTTTGTCCATTACATGTCCATTCTGCAAGCTTATTCTTAGCTTTCTATATTTTATCACTGTCCTCTACAACAACACATGCACTAATTTGGTCTCATCCTCAAATATTGAAATGATATTTCAAATTCCCAGTGTAAATTACTTGTATAAATTCTAAGCAGTAGTGGTCCCAATGCCAATTGTTGTGGATCATCGCTTCCTGTCATCTGTTATCTGAGTACGAGCCTCTAACCCCTATTACCTCCTTGGTGTCATTAGCTAGTTTACTCTTATCTCCAATACTTGTTGCTTGGCTTCACATATTTTTACGTTCATCATGACTCCTAATCTTGTACCTTATTTTTCTTGTTGTGGAGTGGTTGTATCCTTACCTTTTGAGCCTGTAGGCCCAAGTTCAAGTCCCACCTGTTCCAGAGGTGTGTAGTAAAATCTCTGAACAAGCTGATTAAAAATTGTCTTATTCAAACACTTTGAAACAAATATATTGTATATACTTTGTTACCCTTATTTACATTTTGTTACTTCAAAGAATTCAGTACAGTTAGTCAACATGATGCCTTTTGAAATCTGCATTGACTGTTACATTTGCTAATTTTTATCAGTTTCAGTTTAATAATCAATCTCCTAGATTAGTCCTAAGATGTTGTATGTTTAAAATTTAATTTTCTGAGCAAATAAGTAGCTGTGCATCACACAAGAATCTTACAACTGTTTGTACCTATTACATTCATGTATGATTTTGTTTTTATTTTGTTCTTTGCATCCCACTTTTCCATTAGACAAATCTTGTATGAATGTACATTTTCATGATGTAATAGATACTAGCAACTGCATAACAATGTGATTACTTTCAAAACACAGGCGCAGAACAAACAAACAGGAATTCTTGCGGCAGCGAAGGTGATTGAAACTAAAAGTGAGGAAGAGCTGGAGGATTACATTGTGGAAATTGATATTCTGGCATCATGTGATCATGATCATATTGTCAAGCTGCTTGATGCGTTTTACTATGAAAACAAGCTGTGGGTAAGAGACATTTCTGTAATAAATAAGAACATTATTTGGGTTAAACATTAGGTTTCCGTCTTTGGGACTTTGAACTTTGAACTAATTTCAGATCTCATTTGAAGGCAATATCTACAATTACATAGCTCCCTCATCACTGCACTCTAAAAGATGTTTAGATTCATTTTCATGTTAGTTATAACTGTGTCTTCTCATATATTCTATTTGCCTGTCTTATTTCCCTTTTCATTTCTCTCCAAACTTACTGTATTTAGTCTAATTCTCGTCTGTATTATCAACCTGCTATCTGTCATTATGCACCTTTCTTTAATTTCATCTTGAATTCAATTTCCTCCTCCATTCGTATTACTCTGGTTCCACCACCTTTCCACATAATGGGAATGTACCTCAATTTTACTTGAACCATCTCTTGTTTAAGGATTGCCCTTTATTCCATTATATTTTTAAGTATGATTTCTTCTTTGGAGTAAAATTTAAACTGACAGTTCAGTGTAAGTGATCATTCTCTGATCAGAAGGTGTATTTAAATTAAGTTTCTAATTTTTCCTGCTCTTCTGACAGAATTATTAAGGGATGCATGTTAGGGTTCACTGGGGTAGCACGTGAGAATTTGAGGACTGCTCTCCCCCGAGTCATCACAAAATTTCAAAGTTTTTAATAGTATCCAAAGACCCCACATTAACTTGAAATTCTGATCCAGGTTGAAAGAAAACACAAACCAGGTTTCTGTACTGAACAAGAATGATAATTTATTACAAGTACTCTGTACTGGACAAAAATGACCATTTATTACAAGTAATTAGATTCCAGTTACAGATAAACCATTGTAAACCATCAGGGTACAACACTTTAATTAAAATCCTAATCTCCTTGTAAACACCCCCTTACCTTCTCACAGACAGTCAAACAAATAGAGAGGGAAAACTGGAAAGACAGTTCACTAATCGTTGGTCCTGATTTGTGGCCGTGATGACCTATATGATTCTTCTGCTGACCAGCACATGGCTTCAGTTGTCTTTCTCCAAATATTTCCACTGGTGTGTAGGAGACACAAGGTGGCTCATTCAATTATTATAAGTCTGACGTATCAATTAAGACTCACAGCTTACAACAACTGTTGCAGAAAAGATAAACTGGTTTTCTTCAGCTTTGATTGCTTCCCAGCTGGGGAAGAACTGAACAGTTCTTTCTCTCTAACTTGCTCCCAGCTGCAAGCTGTTCAGTGACCTACGAACCAGCCAGACAATATTTCGCAGTAAATGGCCTCTATCATCAATAAGTTGTCAATAATCCATAGACTAATCACCTTATTGTTATCAACAAAATCTTGGTTCCAAATTTGTACAATTCAGACTTCAGTTATTGCTTACACAAACTGTTGTTTACAATGCTTACCATATGTCTCAGGTTACTTTGTTTTTCAAAATTACAGTCACCCTTTCAGTACTTTGATCTTTCAGTCCACAGGAGCAGCACAGTGGCTCAGTAGTCAGCACTGCTGCCTCATAGCATCAGGGACCCGGGTTCGATTCCACCCACGGGTGACTGTCTGTGTGGAGTTAGCACATTCTCTTTGTGTCTGCATGGGTTTCCTCAGGGTACCCTGGTGTCTTCCCAACATCCAAAGATGAGCGGGTTAGATGGATTAGCCACCCTAAGTTACTCATGATGTGCAGGCTAGGTAGATTAACCATGAGAAATGCAAGGTAATGGGGATAGGATTGGTGGGTGGGGTGGGGGAGTTAGTATGGGCTGGGTGGGATGCTACTTCAGAGGGTTGGTTTGGACATCAGTGGGCTGAATGGCCTGCTTTCACACTGTAGGGTTTCTGTGATTGCCGAATCAAATTCTGTGATTACAGTTTTAAAACAATACATAAAAAAGGTCCTTACTCACTATATAACTTTATTCTCAACAGAATTTCTTCTAAGAGCAACTTCTTTAAAAATATAGCCACAATAATGGGTATACGCTTTAATTGGAAGGAAATGACAATGTAAAGAAGATGCACTTGCCTTATCCCACATTTCTGGGGTGAAGGGCACTTATGTAGAAAAATTGAACATGTCTGTTGGAGTTTAAAATGGGAAGTAATCTTATTGAAACATACAATGAGACTAAAACTCCAGGAGACGGTTTAAAAATAGATCCTCCTTTTAAGACAGAGATGATTTATTTTTCATTCACAGGAGGTTGTTAGGGTGTGGAATTCTCTTTCCAGTATTTAATGGTTGAGTTATTCAAAGCTGAGTTAGATGTGTTTTTGATAAACAAGGGAGTGCAGGGTTAGGGGGGCAGACAGAAAGTGGAAGTGAGACCGCAATCTCAATACCTACCCCTGTTCCTACATCCTATTTTCCTATGGCTTTCAATTTTATGATACAGTTGATTATGATGTTCAAGTACGAATAAGTGGGTCTTTTTCAGATTGGCATGATATGACTAGTAGGATCCTACATGAATCTGTGCTGGACCCTCATTATCTTACAATCTATATCAATGACTTAGATGAGGGAATCAAAGGCATAGTTGTCAAATTTGCAGATGTCCTGAAGATGGGTAAGAAAGTATGTTGTGAAAATGACATAAGAATGACATGAAGATAGATTGAATGAGTAATGTGGGAAAATGTGAAATTTTTCACTTTGGCAGCAAGAATTAAAGAAGAACAGTAAACAGCTGCAGAATTCTGAAGTGTGGTAGAATCTACATGTTCTAGTGTGTAAGTCTCAAAATGTTAGTATGCAGATACAGCAAATGATTATGAAGGCTAATGCTGGCCTTTGTTACAACAAGAATTGAGTATAAAAGTTAAGAATGTTATGCTTCAATTATACGGGCCATTAGTAAGATAACATCTTGAATACTGTGTGCAGTTTTGCTCTCATTATTTAAGGAAGGATGTAAACGTGTTGGAGGTGTTTCAAAGGAGGCTTACTAGATTAATACCGGGAATGTGCTTTTTGTCTTTTGAGGATATCTTAGAGTCTGGTCATGTTTTCCGCTGGAGTTTAGAAGCATGAGGGGTGATTTAATTGAAGTGTATAAGATCCTGAATAGTCTTGACTAGGACATTCACTCTTGTGGGTCAGTCCAGAAGTGGATGACCCTGTTAGAAAATGAGGGGCCACACGTTTAGGCAGAGATGAGGAGAGAATTTTTTTGAGGTTTGTGCGACTCTGGACGTTTCTACCTCAGAAGTAGGTCTTTGAATATTTTTAATTCAGAGGTAGATGGATTCTTGAAGGGCAAGGGAAGCAGAGGCTATTGGGATAGATGTGAATGTGGAATTCAAAACACAAACAGATCAATCATGATCTTATTGAATAGTGCAGCTACCCTGAAAAGTGAATGGCTAATTTGTATGATTACACAAAGGTTAGCGGTATATTAGTTTTGTAAATGGGAGCATAAATTGCATTGGATGTTGGTAAAGTGGGCAAAGCAGTGACAGATGGATTTCAGTGCTGGTAAAGTGAGACTATCCAATTTGCACTAAACTAAGATTATATCCAGATGCTGTTTGCATGGGAAAAAGCTGAGAACCGAGCAGGTCCAAAAAAAAATTGGGTGTTCGTGAACAGCTCAATAAAATTAAAGATAGTAGGAACTGCAGATGCTGGAGAATCCGAGACAACAAGGTGCAAGGCTGGATGAACACAGCAGGCCAAGCAGCATCATAGGAGCAGAGAGGCTGACGTTTCGGGCCTAGACCCTTCATCAGAAAAGGGGGAGGGGAAGGGGGTTTTGAAATAAATAGGGAGAGAGTGGGAGGCGGATAGAAGAGGGATGGAGGAGAGGATAGGTGGAGAAGAAACAAACAGGTACGAGAGAGTTGCAGTGGGAGAGAGATCCCTTGAGGTTTGTCTAAAATTAAAGGTTTGGTAGTATAGAATTACTTGAAATATAGTGCAGAAGACTGACTAATGATCCAGTGATATGAGTTCAAATCCCACCTTGACAGCTGGGATCTTTAAATTCAATTAATAAAGTAAACCTTGAAAGGTAAGTTAGTATCAGTAATAATTTCAGGAAGGATATCTCCTGTCCCTAACCACTCATGCCCATGTTTGATGCCATACTGTCAGTAAATGTGCTTGACTCTTAGTGTATGTCGCTGGCTGGACCAGCATTTATTGCCCATCCCTAATTGCCCAGAGGGCAGTTAAGAGTCAATCGAATTACTGAGAGTCTGGAATCCCAGAGGATTCTAGGTAAGGATGGCAGTTTCCTTCCCTACAGGACATTAGTGAACCAGAAGCGTTCTTCTGACGATCGACAAGGGAGTCATGGTCATCATTAGACTCTTAATTCTAGATTTTTATTCAATTCAAATTCCACCATCTGCCATGGTAGGATTTGAAACTGTGTCCCCACAACATTAACAAAAAAAAACAAAAATTGGTGGAAAAACTCAGCAGGTCTGGCAGCTGTGAGGAAGTTCTGAGGAAAGGTCACTGGACTTGAAACATTAGCTCTGATTTGTGTCCACAGATGCTGCCTGACCTGCAGAGTTTTTACAACAATTTCTGTTTTTGTTTCTAATTTACAGCATCTACAGTTCTTTCAGTTTTCCCCAGAACACTTTAGGGCGGCACAGTGATTAGCACTGCTGCCTCACAGCGCCAGGAACCCAGGTTCGATTCTACCCTCAGGCAACTGTCTGTGTGGAGTTTGCACATTCTCCCCGTGTCCGCATGAGTTTCCTCCGGTTTCCTCCCACAGTCCAAAGATGTGCAAGCTAGGTGGATTGGCCATGCTAAATTGCCCATAGTGCTGAGGGATGTGTAGATTAGGTGGGTTATAGGGGGATGGATCTGGGTGGGATGCTCCGAGGGTCGGTGTAGACTTGTTGGGCTGAAGGGCCTGTTTCCACCCTGTAGGGATTCTATGATTACCTGTGTCTCTGGAAGAGCAGTCCAGTGGTAATACCATTAGGCCATTGCCTCTCCTGGACCTAGCAAATAATTCGAGGGTAAGTAGGACTCAGCAATAACTGCTAGCCTAGCCAGTAATACCCACATCCTGTGATTGAATTTTTAAAAATAAAGTGATCAGGTACAAAAAAAAGAGTTATTAGAAAACTAGGATACGAAGGGCACGAATTTGCGCTGCATCATTACGAAACCCTGGTTCATTTACATCTGAGTTACTGTGTATACTTCTGCATAGCAAATTGTTACAATCCATATCGAGACTGGTAACTTGGAGCTCCTTGTGCGATTTCAAGTAGTTTCTGCTGATTAGGGAGATATTTGTATTCCTAGTGACAATCTTGAAATTGTACAACAATATTTCAAGTTTCAAGACTTTAACTATCATGACTTAATACAACATCAATGAAACGCTACTTGGGCAGTCTTGCTCTATGTATAGAAAAGATAATCTATATTACCGTCTTAACACAAACAGTACTTCCAAGCCACATGTATATTCTATGCATTCTGCTCTCCACAAAATTACAGCCTTATAGGATCACAGGATTACAGTTGTTTCTCCGCCAATATTCTTCCATGTTCAAACAGACAAAATTGTTTCTGGCTGTATTTGGTAATCTGCTGCACCTCTGGACCTGATGGAAGATCACTGAATCACAACATGATTTGCTGCACAGAAGGGGGCTATTTGCTTTGCTGTGTTTGTGCCAGCTTTTTAGAAGCAACACAGTTCGTTCCTTTACCTTGCTTGTTTAAGTATGTTTTCTTTTTGGATAATTATCATATCCCTTTTTAAAAGCCATGATTAAAATGCTTTCACCAGATACTTGGGTGGCGCATACAAGATCTTAACCATTTGCCGCCCTCATGTCCCCATTGATTCTTCTGTCATTCAACTTACGTTGATGTCCTCTGATTGTCAGCCTTTCTGCAATGTGTCTCTCTATTTACTTTGCCTAGGCCTTTCATGATTTTTGAACACATTTATCTCGCCTTTCCCTTCTGTAAGGAAGACAAGCACAATTCATGAAACAATCCTGGAAAACTTGCCATTTCAAACTGTGATGCATGCATATTGCAAAGATTAGTTACTGTTGAAACAGGTGATGAGTGATTTATACTGAGAGCTGGTTCATAACTTTCTGCTGATTTGTTATCCAGGCAAAGTGAACAGCTAAGGCATGCCACTGGGCAGTGATCATATGGGATGCTGAGTGTCTTTTACAGTGTGTTAGTTTCACAGAATTCTTTGGAACTATGAAACATAGTTTATTATATTTGGAGCCATATTTACACTCCACCCACTGTCAGACATCATAGCACTGAGCACTTCCTGTAAATGATGCAAATGAACTGGTGCATGACTGCAAGACACTCTTGAGTTTCCACTTGCGTTGGAGTACTACACTGACTGTTTGTTTTAGTTTTGTCTTCATACATGTTAGATTATCAGACTAGAGTTACAAGGAATTAGCCTATGAAGAGTCCATTTTTCAATGTACTTTGTATTTCCAAATATAATTTATGAAATCCCCAGATGTTTTCCTTTCAGACAGGGACTGTTCTGGAATTTCTGTGATCTGCTCGAGGTGTATCTTAGATGTCAGTTATATCACATCACTCTTCATCCCACACCAGCAGTCTGCCTTCAGATAGTTGTACCATAAGCAGCTGATCATCTCCCAAGGCATATCACGCGACAAAGAGCTTCCTGATCTCAGCCTACTCCCAACACTCTGCAAGCAAGGAGTTAAACTTTACATGTTAAATGATAGCTCGAATACTAAATACAGCTGGGTGGAAATGTGGAAGCAGTTTCTTGGACCATTGTGTGTAATTGTTTGCAAATATGTTCAGAAGGAATACTGGTTGGTACCGTTGATGCATTTAATATATTGCACTTTTACAAGCTATTATATCCAGAGAACTTCTCAGTGATGCGCTAATGTGAGATCGCAAAAATGCATATATTATCTGGTTAGGGACCAGTAACTTCTTGTAAGAAGTAGACTAAGTTTGTGCCCTGAGGTACTTAGTAAGAGAATTAAAATGACAAGGTTCCGTGATTTTGAACAAACAAAAATAAACATTACTATCCAGGTTTAGATTATTGCTATGCAAAGTTAAAACAATCCACAATATCTAAAGAATATCCAGAATTAGCTGGAAGTAAATATGGTTAAATGGCAAATTGTGGTCAAGCACCTGCACATATCTGTACTATAAGGTGTATGTCATTTGTCCAAAATTTAATCTCAATTATCTAAGGCGACATAACACCTCAGTGAGATTGCTGATTAATTTGTGCAGGGATGCCAGAAGTAATCAGCATGATGAAAAGTGAACAGCTGTGAGTTTGCAATACAGGGGGAGAAGCCTCCAGACTGCAGCAATCAACATCTTTGTCTCTCTGTCTCTGCAGTGAAGTAACCAAAGCCTGGAAGATAGCTAGAGATTTTGTTCCACCGGTTGGTGTAAATGGTTTCCTGGAACTAGTGACTGAAAGATTTTACAATTAGTGTCTGAACCACACTATATCTTTTATCAAGAATTGAAAAGATCTGGAAACAAAGGGATTGGAGAACAGAACGTCCTTAGGAAGCAAAGTGGAAACCTCATCAAATCCTATGGATTGGTACTATTGAACTGTGTCCCCACTACTTTTTCTGTCACCCATATTTGCTTGTTTCTTGTTGAGTACAGAAGCCTAGTCAGTATTTTTTCTATTAACCTAAGTCCATCAGACAGGTAAATTGGGAACTTCGAGTACTTCGAATAAATCTCTAACTTTTGTGATGATCCTGGTAGTAGTGGAGTTCAGGTATCAGCAAACTCTTTGCTAACTGGGTATCGGCAGTTTCTAAATCTTTAAACTTGTGTTATATATAAATAGTTTGCTTTATTCCATTTTATTGTCATTTCTTTTGCATAATAAACTTCTGTTTTATTATGAAAATTGAATCTGCAACATTGTATGTTTGTGTTTTGATGAAAGACCACGCTGTTAAAACAAAAGCAAAAATGATCTTTCGAGACAGATGGGATTTAACCTGTCCAGTAATAACATCAGCTGGGATCATAACACATCAAATCGCGAACATAGTTCAAACAGACCCTGTGGATTTCTCAGTAACCCCCACTCCGCAGGGGAGGCGATGGCCTGGTGGTATTATTACTGGACTGTTAATCCAGAGACCCAAATAATGTTCTGGGAACCCGGGCTCGAATCCTGTCATGGTGGAATTTGAATTCAATAAATATCTATAATTAAGAGTCTAATGATGACCATAAATCCATTGCTGATTGTCGGGAAAAACCCATCTGGTTCACTAATGACCTTTAGGGAAGGAAACTGCCATCCTTACCCGGTCTGGCTTACAGACTCTCAGCAATGTGGTTGACTCTTAACTGCGGGATGGGCAATAAATGCTGCCTGGCCAGTGATGCCCTCATCACGTGAATGAATTAATAAAGAAAATAAAATCCCCAAACTGACATTGGTGACATTGTGGATCACCGAATCTCATTGAAGCTTTTAATGCTTTGATTCCTTGAAGCTCTCTCAAAAGCCTGTCCACTATGGACCGTCTTGATCCACTGCTTCAGTCCTGTACTTCACTCTTCTTTCATGGGGCAGCTTTTCCCTAAATTCTTGAAATTCTACACAGCACCTGCTCATGGGCACAATTCCAGGTTTTCTGTAGGCAGACAGCTTTACCAGGCTAGTGCTATTCTCCAAGCTCCAGTCTTTCTTAGCTGCAACAAGAAAGTACTGCTTGTGAGCTTCCTTTCCTCTGCCTCTCTGTTGTGTGGAAATATTAACAGTTCACAAGCCCACACAGCTCTCGGGCTTTTTCTGAGTCCTAGCCCACACTTATAATTGCACCAATTGGCTACCAGGATTTCTCCAAATCCTGACTATTCAGATCCTGCTACAGCAACACCCTAAATAAGTACTAAAAGAACTGTGACTACTGTAAATTAGAGGTAAAAGTAGAAATTGCTGGAAATGCTGAGCAGGTCTGGCAGCATCTGTGGAGAGCAATCAGAGTTAACATTTCTGGTTGAATGACCCTTCCTCAGAACTGAAGAATGGTCACTTGACCTGAAACATTAACTCTGATTGATTGCTCTCCACAGATGCAGCCAGACCTGCTGAGCTCTTCCATCAATTTCTATTTTTACCGACAGCAACACCCTGTTGGGGATGGATCATTCTCTACTTGCAGCAGAGCATCTAACATTTGATATTGCCAGGTGCCTTACCTTTATGGTCAGCCTCGACCTCATTGTCTGGTTTATTATGCTAGTCCCAATCGTCCCAGTCCTACTGTCCTCCTGCGTGTTCCCACTTCTCGAAGTCCATATAAACAACATCCATAGACATGACATAACGGTCTCAGGATATGGATCAAAGCTGGGTAAATGGAAGTGCAAATGAGCTGCAGCCTTATTGAATGGTGGAGCAGGCCTACCATTCATTAGACTAAATGGCATACACCTATGTCAAAGGTTGTTGGCTGCTGCACCATTGTTTTAAGACCTATGTTGACTTGTCTCTAACCTGCAAGCTTCTCTTCCCATAGATTCTGATTGAATTCTGTGCTGGAGGAGCTGTAGATGCAGTAATGCTGGGTAAGTTCTGTTGAATTTTGCTGTGCATTATTCTGACATTGGCTGTGTCTAACTTTACATTTCTGTGTGCTGAAAATAATAAGAAATAATGCCTCGATGGTGCACCACGGAAACAGACTGTTCATCCCAACAGTCCATGTTGCCATTTACACTCCGTGAATAAATAGTCCAGTTCACATTTCCCTGTATCTATAATTGTTTATCTCCATTTATATTGATTTATCTAACCTTTAAGTAGTTTGTGCCTCTCCCACTAACCCTGGGAATAACAGCCTCCTAATTCTCTGTCTGAAGAAGTTTCTCCTGTTTTCTGGCCCAAATTACCTTCATTTTGTGTCAACAGCCTTTTGTTTCAGAGTCTCAACCAAAGGAAGCTGCTTGGTTCACTCTGTTCTGTCACATCCTTTCATCATTTCAAACACATCATTATCACTCTTAAATTTGCTTTATTAAGGCGCAAACAATTGACTCCGCACCCCCAATTTTTCTTCCTATCGGGCATCATCCTAAGAATCCACTCTGTACCCTCTCTAAAAGCCTAACTTTTTTCCTACAATTTAGACCCAATACTGCATACAATTCTCGAACATCTTAAGATTTTAAATCTGCTCATTTTAACCTCTTGTATTTTGTATTTTATATTCTGTACCTCTTGTTTAAAAACTTCAATTTCTTTAGCTTGTTTCATGGCCTTATCATCCCAGGGTGCTGATATTTTTAAAGTCCTGTGAATAGCCAGTAACACGCACATTTCATAAATGAGTAAACAAAAATCTTTCTTCCAAATCTCTGTGCTAACTCAAAGTCTATTCATAGTCATTCCTGCTGTAACATAACTAAATGTTTCCTCCTCACAATTTCCAATTAAAGCCATCTGCCACTTTGTAACTGGTTACCCCATTTTATTAATATATCACTCAGTAACTTCCTTTCATCTTGTAAAGAAACCTGGTATTTCTATTCCATTTATAAATTTAACACCATGCCCTCTAGCCTTGCACTAAATTGTTGCTGTACACAGTGAGATTCATGTGCGATGCAAAGGTTCACATTGAACCACTTTGGAAAGCTGTCTGTAATCTAATTTTGCGTTCTCCCTTCTAACCAACTCTTAGTGTAGTTTGCCATCCACATGCAATAGTTTTGAATCCTTGATCATTATATTAAAGACTTTACTAAAGTCATGTCACGCTTGCATTTATTGCATTATTCCTATTTGATATGCTAAACACAGTTGTCCCTTTATGAAAATTCATGGTAGCTGCTCCTCTATTCTCTTTGTATTCATGGTAATTTAATCTGTAATTGAAGACTAAAGTTTTTCTCTACCACAAATGTTAACTGCCCTGCTTTTACCCAGAGGAATTGTTTCCTATTTTAAAACTGGTTTTTATACTGATTACTCTCCAATTTCCCAGTTCACAGCCACACCCAATAATGCTCGGAAATGCCATTTCTTGGGACTGTGTAATTTCCTCCCTTATCTCCTGCCTGATCCTATGATGTATTTGAACAGAAATTCGTCATTACATTGCTCCTCTCACTCTCTCGTCCACATCTCCAATATCGTTCTCCAATAAAAATCTGATGCAAAATGTTTGTTAAATTATTGATCATCATGTACAGATTGACAGTCCTCTTCTGGAATTTCACGTTGTTTTTAATAAACCTCTTTTTACTGATAGACTTTACAGGAGCACAAGAATTAGCAGTAAAGGATACCATTTGGCTGTCAATCTTCCCTGCCCATTTAGTACAATTATGGCTGATCTTGGGTATCAACTCTTTTCCCCCCCCACCACCCTCAAAATATCCCTAGATGCCCTGAGACCAAAAATCTGTCTATGCCAGATTTAAATGTATTCAATGATAGAGCATTCACAACATTCACAATCCTTTGGGGCAGAGAATCAAATTTTAGTGTTCTCATGAATATTTTTGACATTTTTCTTCATATTCCCTCTTAGATATCCCTATCCTACTCTTAACATTTTTTACTTATGTTCTGATATATACCTTTTAGTTTTTATTGGTTAATCCTTACAGACCCTTCCTCAATGTTAATTGATCTCTAAGATTTTTATTTATCCACAGCATCATGACACTTATAGTAATGAGGGGGAAGTGATGGCCTGGTAGTATAATTGCTAGACTGTTAACCCAGAAAGCCAGATAATGTTCTGGGCACCCAGGTTCGAATCCTGCTATAGTTGATGGCAGAATTTGAATTCAGTACAACTCTAGAATTAGGAGTCTAATGATGACCATGAATCCATTGTCAATTGTCAGAAAAACCCATCTGGTTCTTTAGGGAAGGAAACTGCCATCCTTGCCTGGTTTGGACTACATGTGACTCCGGACCCACAACAATGTGGTTGACTCTTAACTACCCTCTGGGATGGGCAATAAATGCTGACCAAGCCAGTGAAATCCACATCCTGAAAATGAATAATAAAAAAAATCTGTTTTTAAAAGGAACATTAGAATTACTCTTCTTGTATAATTTTGCAATTTTTTTTTTAGAAACAATCTTCTTATACAATTAGAAACCCATTTACGACTCAATTCCCACTTACTTCACCGTCCGTACACCTTATCTTACATCACCACTCAATCCTTCACGTAACATTCTCTATCACCTCAGCTTTGTCCTCACCACCCATCCTCCTCCATCTTGGCTCAGCTCGTATCTCTGGGAAAGGCTTCACTATTATCCCACACACGCTCTCGTTTTCACTTTTCTTATTCTCACTCTTTCGCTCATTCTTTCTGTCTCTGTCTCTCTCCCCACTCTCTCTGTCTCTCACCTGCTCTTCTTCTCTTCCCCCTCCCCTCCCCTGTCTGTCTCCCCCATGAAACATGGCAAGGGAAGAGACCTCGTGTTTTAAATGCTTCCTGCTAGTTGCTTTTAAAACCCTTAGCACCAATTAGTGCCACACTGAATACAAACGTTGAAGTTTTACTTGGCACTTGTTGACCATAACTTCCTCAGAAATGAACTGGAAATGGTTATCTTTTCCTTTGAGGATATTGGGACGCAACCATCCCAATGACTTCCAGAAAATAAACTCAGCCCCAGGTCAGATTGAGCTGCTCTTGGATTTCTATATTTGGCTCATTGGAGGTCTCCTGTGGCGAAAAGCAGGTACCAGCAAGATTGCCTCAAGACCAGAGGGAGCCTCAGGTCAGGAATGGCTGGATCCTTATTTGATGAGTAGTGTTTAGCGGTACATCTCAGAATATTGTCCTTTGTCAGTCTTTCGTGAGCCTGATACTTCTAGCGTGGTATCAAGGTTAGTCTAGCTCTTACACATAATGTTTAGTATTTTTTCTATTACCTTCTTGCTTCACATGTTCTTGTTTCATAGAATTGGAAAGAGCTCTGACTGAGCCTCAAATTCGAGTAATTTGTAAACATACACTGGAAGCTCTGAGCTACCTCCACGACAACAAGGTGATCCACCGAGACTTGAAGGCAGGGAATATACTGCTCACAATGGAAGGAGATGTCAAACTGGGTAAAACTTCTTTTCTTTTAATCAGCAACACAGTTAAACTGTGTCTGAAAACATGTAACATAAAGAGAAGATACTCAGGTCAGGCAGCATCTCTGAAAATCTGCTTGTAATAATGTTTGAGATGTAAGCAAAAATATTTGTGAGGAGCCAAAAGTGAAAGACACTGTTCATGGAATATCAATGAGATACTACAGTTACATGTTAGTCAGCATCTGAGAGAGAAACAACAAGTTAACTTGTTCATTGGTGTCCTTTATCAAGAAAAGCCATTTACACTTGGCTAAACTTTGGAAAAGGAGATTGTGATTGTACTGATTCTCCTAATGAGACAATGTTCCAAGACTCCTTAAATTGGATTATTGAGCTATACAATTACACATGGAAAATGGTTGCAGTTAAAGATTAGAAGGGTACCTAAGGCCTATTGAGTGACAGCAATAATTTTCTGTATTTACTTTCCCAGCATTAATAAAAGGCAATGAGTGGAATGCAGGCAGGCTTTGGATGTTCTGTTTTTCTCAATCCTGACTCTTTTTTTTTTTAAGTAGTAAAATCACCAAAAGTTCTTGTATAATAATGGTGTCCATATATTTCAGCAAAAATGTGCATTTTTCTGCACTATTCGAGCTGGGGCCTGGGGCACTTCTGCCTCAGTGCCTGCAGTCAGTTTAACAAATTAATTGTCAGAAATGTCATGCCAGTGCAGGCCCAGGCCCGGGTGAATCACGTTCCTTTCATTTTCTATTGCAGCTGATTTTGGGGTCTCGGCAAAGAATAACAGGACATTGCAACGAAGGGACTCCTTTATTGGGACACCTTACTGGTAACGTGTTGATTTTTACAGCTAAACTTGACTTGTGCATTTTGAAGATCTAGTATTATTTATAAGTTTCCAACTGTGTGGGTTGTATGTACTGCATAGTTATTAGTGTCTGGGACTACATGTTTTCCAGTTTCTGGGCTATTTGTACAGTGCCTCAGACATTCAGTGACGTGCTGTGCTTGTCTTTCTCTAGGATGGCACCTGAAGTTGTGATGTGTGAGACATCAAAAGACAAGCCCTATGATTATAAGGCAGATATCTGGTCGCTGGGTGTCACTCTGATTGAGATGGCTCAAATGGAGCCTCCCCACCATGAGCTGAATCCTATGAGAGTCCTACTGAAAATTGCTAAAGCTGACCCACCCACACTGACGCAACCATCCCGATGGTAAATATACTTGTGTTGGTAGCCAGTTGCAAGCACCTGTTCACATTGCAAATTTTAGTGTCTGTGGATCTCTGTGGATATTTCATCTAGAGTCATTGTATAGTTCAATGTTATGTTTAGATTAGATCTGTACTGCTCAAATCCTTGCATAGTGGCCATTTCACCTGAACACAGTATTACAGTAATCCATTGTGTTCAATTCTACTCTGCTTGTACTACTCTGGTATCATGTTTATGCGCGTCCTTTTGTTCCGTCCCTCCTGTTTCATCATTGAAACAAAAAATTTGTCCAGAGGAGGTATAGGTAGAATTAACAGAATTAGTACCAACAGCTGCAGCCTGGAAAAAAAAATAGTGGAGCAACAGGTAATGATCCAAAACTTGCCACACTCAGCCATAAATGGCAGTAGACAATTAAATAACTAGCAGCAGATAGAAGCTCCACAAGTACCTTCATCCTTTATGATGGAGCCCAGCACAACAGTGCAAAAGTTGAAGTGCTGAATTCATCTTCAGTCAGAAGATTTGAGTGGATAGTCAGTTTCAGCCACTTCCTGAAGTCCCCAGCATCAGAGTATTCACCCATTTTGGTTCATTCAATGTGCAATCAAGAAATGACTGAAGACATTGGATACTCGAAGGCTGGAGGCCCTGACAACATCTCATCAATAGTACAGAAGATTTGAGAACTAGCCACCTCCCTAGCCAAGCTGTCCTACTGCAGCTTCAACACTGGTATGTGTCTGACAATGTGGAAAATTACTGATTTTATGTCTTGTACACAAAATGTGGGACCAATTCAACCAAGTTAATTACTGCCCTATCAGTGTAATCTTGGTGATCAGCATGGTGATGGAAGGGGTCATCAACAGTGCTACCAAGCAGCACTTGGAAAGCAGTAACTGCTCACTGATGCTCAGTTTGGGTATCTCCATGGCCACTTGACTCGTGACCTCACAACAATCTTGGTCCAAAGATAGATAAAAGAGCTGAATTGCAGCGATGAGGTGAGTGACTACCCTTGACATCAAGGCTGCATTCGACCAAGGATGTTGTCAAGGAACCCCAGCAAAACCAGAGTCATTGAGAATCAGGAAAACTTTCTCTGGTTAGAGTTGTACCTATTCAGCGGAAGATGGTTTTGGTTATTGGAGTCCTGTATCCATACGCATCAAAAGCTGGACAACAAGACCGAGACCAGCTTGAACTGTTGTGTGACATGAACTTTACATGCTACATAAGTGCCAGACATCTCCAACAAGAGGGAATCTGTTCATCAACTCCATTATATTTGCTGGCAAATGCATTGCTGATTTCCCCCACTATCAATATTCCAGGTGTTACCATTGATCAGAAACTGAGCCAGACCAGCCATATGAATACTGGCTACAACGGAAGGTCAGAGGCTGGGAATTCTGCAGTGAGTAACTCACCCCCTACTTGTTAAGTGCCTGTTCACCATCTACAAGGCACAAGTCAGGAGTGTGATGGAATACTCAGCACTTGTCTGGATGGGTGAGTCTTGGCTCAGGAGATTTGTCAGCAACACATCAGAAGGCCATGGATTCAATGCCTATGCTAGAACTTCACCACATAATCTAGGATGACATTTCAGTGGAGGACTTGGAGGTTGCAGTTATCAATCCAAATCATCTCGTGGCACAAATGCCTTTGCCACCATCAAGGAAGAGCTGTATCCAGCTAGCTGCCTATGAGGCCACTGAGTTTCTATCTATGAATCTGGACTTACCAGCAGATCTTTTTGCTCCCTGTCTTATTATACCTATCAAAATAGCATTATGCTGGTGAGTTTAGCTCTCTATAATACCTTTTTTTGGGTTCTGTAGAATGTTGGTTTTTATCCCAGTAGGAGAAATGCATAATGTGTACTGACTGCTGCTAAATCTCCAGATCTTTCAAGCTTATATCATTTAGAGTTTGTCCAATGGAGAATGCTAACGGTAAGTGTCAGAAATCCAAGAACCTATGTTGGAGACTTCTTTCTAATGGGAAATTGGTGACAGTAGCAGGCCAGCATTTATCATATTTAATTACTGTTCCACATGGGATACAGGGGGAGCTAGCCACTGGGCTTAAAAATAGGCTTGAAGGTAGCAGACAGAGGGTGGTGGCAGAGGATTGCTTTTTGGACTGGAGGCCTGTGACCAGTGGTGTGCCACAAGAATCGGAGCTGGGTCTACTGCTTTTCCTTATTCATGTAATGATTTGGATGTGAATGTAAGAGGCATGGTTAGTAAGTTTGCGGATGACATCAAAATAGGTGATGTAGTGGACACTGAAGAAGATTATCTCGGAGTACAATGGGTCAAGAAGTGGCAGATGGAGTTTAATATAGATAAATGTTGCATTTTGGTAGAGCAAACCAGGGCAGGACTCCTTCAGTTAATGGTAGGTCCCTTTTGGGGAGGCAGGGGGTGTTGCCAAACAAAGAGACCTAAGGGTGCTGATGCATAGTTCCTTGGAAGTGGAGTTGCAGGTAGACAGGATGGTGAAGAAGGCATTTGACATGCTTGCTTTCATTGGTTAGAACATTGAATATAGGAGTTGAGAATGTCATGTTGCTGCTTTTCAAGACATAGGTAAGGCCACTTTTAGAATACTGCAAACAATTCTGGTTGCCCTTCTGTAGGAAGAGTGTGTTAAACTTAAGGTGTAGAAAAGATTTACAAGGATGTAGCTGGAACTGGACGGTTTGAGTTTTAGGGAGAGGCTGAATAGGCTGAAGCTTTTTTTCCCCTGGAGCATCCGGGGCTAAGGGGTAACCTTATAGCTGTTTACAAAATCATGAGGGGCATGATTTTAGCCAAGGTCTTTTTCCTGGGGTGGAAAAGTCCAATGCTAGAGGGCATAGGTTTAAGGTGAGAGGGGAAATATTTAAAAAGGACCTGAAGGGTAATTTTTACATGCAGAGGGTAATGTGTGTATGGAATGAGCTGCCAGAGGAAGTGGTGGAGGTGGGTACAATTAGAACATTTTAAAAGCTGTCTGGTTGGGTATATGAATAGGAAGGGTTTAGAGGGATATGGGCTAAATATTGGCAAATGGGACTATGTCAGATTGGGATGTCTGGTTGGCACAGGCGAGTTGGACCAATGACTCTGACTGAAAGATTTCTCTACTGACTATTATGAACTGACACTCCTTTACTGCTCAGTTGGATGTTGAAGAGATTGTGATACTGTTGAACGATGAACAGGAAGTTGAATATATATTGCTAAGTTGCACCATTCAAACAGATGAACCAATCAAAAACAGAAATTGCTGGAAAAACTCAACAGGTTTGGCAGTATCTGTGGACAGAAAGCAATATCAACATTTAGGGTCCAGTGACCCTTCTTCAGAAATAGTCAGATGTTGGAAACTCGCACCATGTTGGTCATCATTTGTAATGTAGTTAAGCACACAGGCCATTCCTGGGTTGCAAACAGCTTCTGTTGTTGAGTCTGTTTGCAAGTTGGCTTGTATACAAATCAGAACACAATGCAGGAGAATATAAAGTAGACATTCCTAAGTACAGAAAATGTTTGTAAGTTGGACCTTTTTGGGATCCCGTTCGTAAGTACAAGCGTTCATAAATTGAGCATCTTGTGTTGTCTGATCTCTGTACTGTGCAAACACAATAGCTCAATGCCCTCCTGTGTTTCTGTGTCTAAAAGCCAAAATTAATGCATTGTCTGTAATTCTTTGTCAGAGCTGGACACCAGTTGCTTGCTGACTGTGTGTTTCTTTTTCAGTTCTTGTTTTCCATTTCTAATCCCTGCATTTCGTGCCTTTTATGAACATTTGCCTCATTGCAGTTTGTGGGATCTCACTGTACATACCAGCATGCTGTTTATATAGCAGCACTTGCCATGTTTCTGATAGCTTTGACCAGGTGTTCTCAGAGTTCTTTCGTAACTTCTAATGACAGTTATTTCTTTCTGTAGGTCGCCTGAGTTCAGTGATTTCCTGAAGAAGGCATTGGAGAAGAATGTTGAGGTGAGGTGGTCATCCCAGCAGTTGCTACAGGTGAGTATGTAACCTGTGTGAAGCTGGACGTTTTTGGCCTGGACCCTTCTGAAATTTCTGAAGAAGGGTCCAGACCCGAAACATCAGCTTTCCTGCTCCTCTGATGCTGCCTGGCCTGCTGTGTTCATCCACCTTGTTATCTCGACTCCAGCATCGGCAATTCCTACTATCTCTCAGTATGTAACCTGTGTTTGATGGACACCGAATGGGAAAAAGCTTCACATTCTGACAAGGACCAGGGCATTCTGAACAGGAGAATATTAAGATTCGTCCTGATTGTAATATATAACTGTGAGCAGTCCAGATTACAAAGATAACTGGCTTGTGCAGATGGAACTGTTAGCATTGTAATAATGTTGCTGGATTAGTGACTCAGAGGCCTGGAAGTAATGCTCCAGAGACAAATTCATATCCCATCAACATGGTATTTAAATTCAATTAATTAATAAATCTGTTGTCAAAAGCTAGTCTAAATAATGGGACTGTGAAACTACCATTTTAAAAAGCCCACCTGCTTCACTGATGTCCTTTAGAGAATGAAATCTGCCGTCCTTACTCAGGCAGGCCTACAGTTCGTGTGACTCCAGATACACAGCAATGTACTTGATTCTTAAATGCTCTGACAAAGTCTTTCAAGCCACTCTTTTATCAAAACCATTACAGAAAAGTCAACACTGAATTTATCTGCACAACATGGTCTATAGCAGTTTAAGCTGTACCACCTTCTCAAAAACAATTGGAGCTGAGCAATAAATGATGCTCTTGTCAGCAATGCTCTTATACCAGAGGCTGGCTCCACTAGTAATCTAGGATACACTAAGGGAGTGCTGCATTATATCTTCAAATCTCTGGAATCTGGTCTGCACTCTGAAAGTATGATTCAGATGTCAGTATTAGCAGATCACAAGTAGAGCAGCACTGAACCAGAGTCTGACCCTGCCCTAAACTGAATTGTAAACATACTCCGTTTCTTGTAGTTGGAGTGCCCATGGATTGACAGGGGGAGGCCCCTGGGTGCAGATGGAGCTTTACTGGCCTGTAAGAATTTACAGGCCACTCATTCTGTGTAACAGCTGGTTTCTATATTGGAGTATCCCATCAGAGTCTGCAGATTTAGAATTCAAAGAGAAACAGCTGAAGTGAACAGAGAGAGAGCTGCTTTGTGCAGTCTACATTCTCTTATACAAAGATCATAAGAAAAATGGCAGCTTCATGTCTATCAGATTTTGCTGTTTTGGCCTAACACCCCAACCATCTGTGAGTATAAGTTAGAACTTGTTTGTTAGATGCTTGCGTGTGTACCTGTATTGGCACTAAAATACTGCTTCACAGCTTTTCCACTGTGATCGCGTTTTAGTGTTTTTGAATTAACAGGATCCCAGAGTTATGAAAGGGATGGAGGGTTCAGTGAGGGGGTTCAAAGAGTGGGTGAAGGATTTGCTGAATGTTTGAGATGGGGAGCATTTCCATTTGCACAGCAACTTTTGTATACTAATTGAGCCATGGCATACATATATTTGTCATAGAACTACACCTCAAAACACTGTTGTCTTAAGCATACAAGTGCATTGTGAGCTAAATGTACCCTGGAGAACAGACAGTTAAAATTCAACTGCAATATAAAATAGAGGTATCTATAACAAAACATTATCACCAACCCCCGATTTGCTCCATTCCTCCTGAATACCGTTTTCTGATTATCACTGGATCAAACTCAAGGCACCAAAATGGAGGCCAGCACCTGCCAGAATCTTGCTGCAGAGCACACAGGAAATTGTAGTACAATTAAACTGTCTTATTGCTGAATAACTGCTATTAAGGTCCTTGTGACCCCAAAATTTTGTTGACCTGTGCTTTGGGAACCCCTGGTTTCGAGGTTTGTAGAGTACTTTATGAGCTCCAGATCATTTGTGCTGAGAATATGCAGCATGGTCATCAAGCAACATAGCATCTAGTGAGTCCTCATGTCAACTCCTCGTGAGAGCAAGTAAGCTTTAGTTCAATCAAGTGATTCTGAACCTGTTCAACTTTATTAACCATTGCCCAATGCTGATCTAGAGTTGGTAGCCTTCTCCATTACACCTTTTCTCTGTGCTAAGCCAGAATCAGTCCCATCCCCACTAATCCTTTCCCAATGCTGATCCAGAATCAACTCTTATTATTCATTTTATTGTCTGCGGCAAAGGCTACAAGTTAAAGAAATTGAAATGGAGCTTTCTAGATTTCACAGTAAACGCAGCAACATTTGAAGAGCCACATCAGAAGAATGATCCTGCCTGAGATATTAGCTATTCAATGCTGATGACCGTTGTGCATTTCTGAAAAACAGAAAAGGCTGGAAAAACCTAACAAGTCTGGCAGCATCTGTGGCAGCAAACGGTTAATTGTTCATCTTGATGAAGTTTCATCAGGACCATTTGCATTTCTGAATGTTTTTCAGATTTGCAGTACTTTTTAAAGCTCTGTGGGAATATAGGGCCATTTTGCTCCAGGTCAATTTCAACCCATGTTTAAAATTAGTTGTTGTACATGATGCTGGAGACCTTAAGAATGTGGTAGAGTCTCAACATCTCTTTCGTTTCTCAATGGATGCTGTAACGCTGCCTCGTGCAGTTACATCACAGTGATAGAGGGGGAGCCACATTCGGTGACAGATTGCTTTGGCAGTAGCTTAGGACATGAGGGATTTTCTTTAGATTCGTTCTTTGCACGTGTGTACTGCTGTCTCGGCTAGCATTTATTTTCCATCCCTAAATACTCTTGAGAAGTGGTAGTGAGTTACCTTTTTGAACTGCTGTAGTCAGTGCGCTGTGGGTACACATCGCTAGGAGGGAAGGAATTCCAGGCTTTTGGTTAAACAACAGCGAGGGAATGGTGGTATAGTTCTAAATCGTGATAATGCGTGGCTTGGAAGGGAACTGGCATGTGGTTGTGCACGTCTCTGGTGTATTTTTTTTGGTGGTCACAGATTTGAGATTACTGTGACCTATTGTGTGTAACTTAGTTTTTGTTTCTAAATCTGTTTGTTTTCTCCCCTTTCTAGCACCCATTTGTGGTGAATGTTAACAGCAGTAAGCCTGTGAGGGAGTTGATTGCAGAAGCAAAGGCAGAGGTAACAGAAGAGATTGAAGAGAGCAAAGAGGATGAAGAAGAGGAGGATTCTGAAAATGCAGCAGTGAGTATCAGATATGCTAGGCCAACACAGTAATTACAAAATTTTAGCTGGTAAAGTGATTGTTAGCTTGCTTGCTTTCCAGCTTTGCGTTCATAGATTTATGCCCATCATTTTTTTGACTCTCCAGCATAGCCGCCCATTTAATCTTTGATTCGAATCATCTTGAATTGGATAGAAGTATTGACTTGTCAGGCCCGTACTTCAATTTGTGGGAACCTGAATGTCATCAACCTTTGAATATGGGAAGAAAAAGCAATTAGTTGTGGGGAGGTATTCATTAAAAAAAATCTCAGGGAATTCAGAAGAAAGTTCATTACCTGATGGTGAAAATGTGGAACTCACTACCACAAGGAGTAGTTGAAGCAACTAATATTAATGAATTTAAGGGGAAGCTAGACAAGCCTATTGGGAAGAAAGATTTCAATAATAAATTTAAAGGATTCCTTATTTCAGTGAATAGAGTCGAAAGACTCACTCTTTAAGATCTGGATCTTAAGCCACGTGCCGTTTTGCAATATTGCTCATCATCACGAGGACATTGGTTTGTCTTGGAGTTTTGAAAGCTTTCACCAAGTTCTACCTTATTCTCATTACAGATCGGTAATAGAGTCATAGAGCTGTACAGCACTGAACCAGATCCTTCAGTCCAAAGCATCCATGCTGACCAGATATTCTAAATTAATCTAGTCCCATTTGCCAGCATTTGGCCCATATCCCTCTAAATCTTTCCTATTCATATACCCATCCAGATGCCTTTTAAATGTTGTAATTGTACCAGCCTCCGTCACTTCCTCTGGCAGCTCATTCCATACACACACAACCCTCTGCGTGAAAAGGTTGTCCCCTCGGTCCCTTTTTAAATCTTTCCCCTCTCATGTTAAACCTATGCCCTGTAGTTTTGGACTCCCTTACCAGAGGAAAAAAATCCTTGGCTATTCCTCCTATCCATGCCCCTCATGATTTTATAAACCTCAATAAGGTCACTCCTCCACCTCTGACACTCCAGGGAAAATTGCCGCAGCTATTCAGGCTATCCCTATAGCTCAAACCTTGGTAAATCTTTTCTGAACCCTTTCAAGTTTCACAACATCCTTCTTATCGCAGAGAGACCAGAACTGCATGCAGTATTCTGAAAGTGGCCTAACCAATGTCCTGTACAGCTGCAGCATGACCTCCCAACTCTTATACTCAATGCTCTGACCAATAAAGGCAAGCATACCCAAATGCCGCCTTTGCAACTCCAGTTTTAAGGAACTCTAAACCTGCACTCCAAGGTCTCTTTGTTCAGCAACACTCTCCAGGACCTTACTATGAAGTGTATAAGTCTTGCCCTGATTTTCCTTTTCAAAACGCAGCTCCTCACATTTATCTAACTGAAACTCCATCTGCCACTCCTCGGCCCATTGGCCCATCTGATCAAGATCCTGTTTTACTCCGAGGAAACCTTCACTGTCCATTACACCTCTAATTTTGGTATCATCTGCAAACTTAAAAACTATACCTCCTGTTCACATCCAAATCATTTATAGAAATGATGAAAAGCAGTAGACTTAGCACCGATCCTTGTGGCACACCGCTGGTCACAGGCCTCTAGTCTGAAAACAATCTTCCACCACCACCCTCTGTCTTCTACCTTCAAGCCAGTTCTGTATCCAAATGGCTAGTTCTCCCTGTATTCCATGTGATCTAACCTTGCTAACCAGTCTACCATAATGAACCTTGTTGAATGCCTTTGCTGAAGTCGATATAGATCACGTCCATGACTCTCCTCTCTTTTGTTACTACTTCATATGATAATAGTTTGTAATTTTGCAAAATAGCAAAGGAGAGAGATATAAACATCTCCCCATTGATCATAAACTTAGCTGGGTCACATAAAAATACAGATCAGTGGCTAGTAATTCTTCAGTGAACAACTCCCTACTTTTCTCCCTGCAGTCTGCCCACCATCCACAATGCTCAAATCTAGAGTGTGATAGAACATTCTCTATTTGTCTGGGTGACTAAAACTCCACATCACTCGGGTTTGACCCCATACAAGGTAAAGAGGCACAGGTTATTGGCACACTATCTTTCACCTCAAACATTCACCTCCTCTGCTGGCACTTCGTGCCAGCAGTGCATACCATCTACAAGATATATTGTGATACCTTGTCAAACCTCCTTCAATGCAACTTCTAAACAAGTAGCTTAGGATGACAATACCAGCAGATGCATGTGAACACTATCATCTGCAAGATGCTCTTTGTCCTGACTTGAAAAGTTATCATCTTTCCTTTGCTGTTGTCATCTCAAAATCCTGGATTTTGCCCCATTACCGTTGGTGTACTGACAATGTATTTCGTTGCATAGGCCCAAAGCAGTGGCCTACTATCACTTCAGTGGCAATTAGGAATGATTGATCAATGTTGGCCTTGCCAGAATCACCATAACTATGAACAAATATAAAAAAGGATCCAGCAGTACGTTCTTCTATGAGAGTGACTTGACTAATCAAAATCACATTCTTGTGCCTTAATTAGCAGAGGAAAGGAGCCATTTACTCTCGAAGAAGAGTCTTTCACTCCTTCATAGATTGTGTCACAATGGAAAGTTAATGTATTGTGGACAACCTTTGGCCTTATTGACTTTTCCTTGAATTTGGATTTCACTAAGTCATTGATGGTCTACCATTGCTGCTCTGTGTAGTTACTGTAATATGCGCCTCAGTTAATGCAAAATTTCTAAGTATGAATGGCGGCATGATTTTAATGCTCTGATTTGGTGTTTGAAATGCTGTTGCTTCATGGATGGAACTAACTATGAATAGAGCTCAGAAATAAATTAACTGTTTATTGATCTTGAATTACACAACAAAAAAAGCTTTATGCTGTATTCCTCTAGGCTTTGCCAGGACATAAACGTGCCCCATCAGATATCAGCACTGCCAGCTCTGAGGATGAGAAACTCTCCCAGTCTCCTTCAATCCTTGAGGCTGTTTCTGAGAAAATGGAGACAGAGTCTGTTGAAGAAAATACAGACAAGGTCAGTGACAAGCTGTCAGATGAGGGGATTGGCACCAGTGAAGGGGAGAAGCTGATGGAGAACAATGCTTCTGACGCCAGTAATGAAGATGTACAAGGAGGTAGTGAGAAACTAGATACTGATGTTGGGAAACGTGCATCATCAGAAGAGAAATCTGAGACAGAAGAGCCAAATGTGGAGATCCCAGAAGCTCAGGATAGCACTGAGCAACCTCTGAAAGAAGATGAGGTACGTGAGGATGTTAGCAAACCTGAAGAGGAAAAGGGCAAAGTGTCAGAGATAAAAAAGGAAACTGCACCTGGAAAAGAGAAAGAGACAGAGACGGAGCCAAATGAAGTTAAGGTGGAGGGAGAGAACAAAGCAGCCAACACTGAGGTGACAGAAGCCTTGGCAGTAACGCAGGCAGAGAAAAGTGATGAAGAAGCAGCAAGAGAAGCTTCCAATGCAATAATGATCAGTGTGCAACCTAAAGAGACCATACCTGAAGAAACAATGGATGTAATTTCTGGCAAAGGAGAGCAGGAGGTGCCAGAGTCCACTGTAAACACTCCAGCTCTCCGCAGTGAAGAAACAAAAGAGGAGAAGCAGGCTGATGATCTCCAAGTGAACTCTGGTACACAATTAGTGGAAGGTGGAAGATGTCCCGAGATTGAAGTTGTAACGGAGAGTGGTGTAAAATTAGAGTACACTTCAGAGACAGAGGCTGATACTAAGACACTACCTGAAACTAAGACACGACCTGAAACTATCCCTACCCCAGCAAGCATAACGTTGAGTGGCGAGTTGAATGAAACACAAGATGCTATCACTTACAAAGTGAAGGAAACAGAGAGTGAGAGCCCAGATGACATAAAGCTGGAGATGATCCCCGAAATCAATGTCATCACTGAAGAGATGAAGGAAAATTTTGATCCTGCTGCACAATCGAAGAGCATGAATCAAGAAAAAGAGAGAGATGCAGATTCTGGGAGTGGGTCAATGGCAGACAACAACAGCATTGACTTAAGCCTGTCCATATCCAGCTTCTTGTCCCGCAACAAGGAAACTGGATCGATATCACTTCAGGTAACAAATCAAATTCAGATTTTTTTAAAAAATTACTTTTTTATTTTGGTGTTCAGTAGAGTGCATTGATGTTTATTGACCATCACTAGTCACTTCTGAGAAGATGAGATGCCTTTATTGAAATTTTTGATTGGTTTGGCTGACCGATGGCTCAGGGATGGGCACAACACAGGGACCTAAGCGACAGGTAGAGAGCACTTGGACCAGGGTGGAAAGCAGACAACATGGGAATCAGAGCAGCAGGTGGATGGCACAAGGATCAAGGACCGGCAGGTGGATTGCAGCCAGACTGAGGTAGCAGGCAGAAGGCACGAGGACTGGGGCGGCAAGTCTTTGGCACCGGGACCAGGACAACAAGTGGTCCGGACACGGACTGGGACGGCAGATAAGTGGCACAGGGACCAGGGCAGCAGGCAAATGGCACAGGGACTGTCATAGTGGGCAGACTATCTGGAAACGGGGGAGGCGATGGCCTAGTGGTATTATCGCTGGACTGTTAATCCAGAGACCCAGATAATGTTCTGGGGACCCAGGTTTAATCCTGCCAAGGCAGATGGTGGAATTTGAATTCAATAAATATCTGGAATTAAGAGTCTAATGATGACCGTGAATCCATTGTCAATTGTTGGAAAATCCCACCTGGTTCACTAATGTCCTTTAGGGAAGGAAATTGCCATCCTTACCTGGTCTGGCCTGTACGTGACTCTGGACCCACAGCAATGTCCTTGACTCTTAACTGCCCTCTGGGCAATTAGGGATGGGCAATAAATATTGCCTAGCCAGTGATGCCCTCATCCTGTGAATGAATAACAAAAGCCAAAGTGGACTGAGATTGGCATTGGCACAGTAGGCAGAGAACATAAGGCCTGTGATGGTAAAGAGACTGAGGCAGCAGGTGGACAGCATGGGGACTGGGCAGCAGGTGGTGTCCTTCAGTCACCTGTTTGTGTATTTGCAATTTTAACAGGAAATGAAGCAACAGAAAAAAACATTGAAGAAAACACGTAAGTTTATGGTAGATGGTGTGGAGGTAAAAGTGACAACATCAAAAATTGTTACAGATAATGACAAAAACAATGAAGAAATGAGATACCTCAGGTAAGAGTCCAATCTGACCAATTTTGTTTAATACTAATTATAACAACAGTTTTATAACATAGATAACAAGGTGTAGAGCTGGATGAGCACAGCAGGCCGAGCAGGAAAGCTGACGTTTCAGGTCTGGACCCTCCTTCAGAAATGACCCGAAACGTCAGCTTTCCTGCTCCTCTGCTGCTTGGCCTGCTGTGTTCATCCAGCTCTACACCTTGTTATCTCATTCTCCAGCATTGGCAATTCCTACTATCTCTGAGTTTTATAACATGTTGAGTTTTGTTTTAGAGTAAATTATTTTCTGATGAATTTCAATCTTGGATCAAGCGTATCCTTCAGTGAGCGTCCCACATGAATTTGTCTTTGTTAGTAATGTATAAATTCCTGTTATCTTACAACTTAGTGATTTCACAGCGCAGGATATCATACCCTCTGTAATTTGTCTTCACAATGTGAGATCAATAATTTATTTCCCCACTACTAGGAATGTACTTCCCCGAATAAAGCAAGATTTATGTTTAAAGAACACCTTAGTACCTCTGTCTGAAAGATTTCAGTGTAGCATGGACAGAGTTATTTTGAATTGTGGAAACAACTTCTTAACATAAATGTAATCTCATGTGTTTGCTGGATATTAAATTCTAACTGGAATATTTGAAGCTGCACCCAAAGTATTATTAATAAAAGCATAAAGTCAGAAAGGCTTTTAAAAAAGCTGAAAATAAAATACATTTTTCTTATTCGTTCATTAGATATAGGCATTGCTGGCTAGGCCAGCAAATAATACCTACCCCAAATTGGAGCTGTTGAGAATCAACTGTGTTGCTGTGAGTTGAGTCGTATGTAGGCCCGATCAGGTAAAACTGGCAGGTTTCATTCTGTAAAGGACATTAGTGAACCACATGAGTTTTTCCAACAATTGACAGTGGTTACATGGTCACCATTATGCTAGCTTTTTATTCCAGATTTATTTTAATCAATTAAAACGTTACATCTGCCATGATGTGATTCAAACCCATGTCTCCTGAACATTAGCTCAGGTACTGGACTGCTAGTCCAGTGGAATTGCAGCCATGCCACCACCTTGCCCTATTAAACAAAAAATGCAAGAAGCGCTATTATTAGCTTCAAAATACCACCCTGTTCACTGGCCAACATCTCTTTCTCAGGCCTGCTGCACTGCTCCAGCAAACCTCGGCACAAGCTGGAAGAACAGCACCTCACTTTCCACCTGGGATCCTGCAGCCCGCTGGACTCAGTATCATGTTCAACAATTTATAAGTCTTGAGCTCTCCTATGCCATTACCCCAGCCCCCACACGCCAGGCCTTGTTATCACATAGACATTACAGACAACCCATTGTTAGCCACTAACAGTCTCCATTAGTCATGATTAATCCTCGTAGCCAGATTGTTATCCACTCCCTTATCTGTCTAACTGTTCTTCTCTGTCTTTGAGCTCTATCCCCACCTATTGTTTACTCCTTCCCCACCCCCCGCCCCCCACCCTATCTTCTGCATATAAACTGATAGTTCCCTAGCTATCATCAGTTCTGAGGAAGGGTCACTGGGCCTGAAATGTTAACTCTGATTTCTTTCCACAGATGCTGCCATTCCTGCTGAGCTTATCCAGCAATTTCGGTTTTTGTTTATAATTAGCTTGTCACTGTTTGTGAGAATAGCCTCAGGTTTAGACCTATTGGAAAATATTCTGTTCCTGAGTAGCAAATGTTCCCTATTTTTATTCACTGTCACTAATTTTAGAACTGGTATTTTGCTTTGAAGCATAACGTATTTACAGAACCCTCACTTAGAAAAGAAAGTGGATGACTTGGTTTTACATAATAGAGCCTGGCCAATGCTCAGTTAAACTCTCAGGTTTGAGATGAATTGAATATATTGTATTTAAAAATTTCTATTGAAGAAGCTGAAATAAATGAGTCTGGAACCTGATGGAATTTACATGAGACAATCAGCAGCAAAGTATATTTCTGCCAAGATTCAAATCCCAAACACGTTTTGTAGTTGCATCAAAAGAAATTGACAATAAATCCAGAATTATCTCCAGATTACTGAAAATCTGTTGCTTCCATTTTTTTGAAGTCATTCGTAACTTAAATTGCAAAACCAAAGGGAGTTAGCACAAAAGACATTGCTCCTTCAGCTAAAACTAATTCTGAACATTTTGTGATCGTTTGCAATTAGCTAATGTCTTGATTGTTTGGAATTGGCTTTTGACATGAAGCTGCAACCTCAAACTCCATCCTAAAATTTGTTGTGGGAGAAGTATTGATGGACCTGCAGTGTTTTTACCTCCTGATTTCTGGGTTTTACATCTTTTGTTTCTATTTCTGTGTTGAAAGAACCATCTATGAATGTTAGATTGTCTCCATCCTGAGTCTCTGTTCTCTGTGCAGGCGCCAAGAGTTGCGTGAGCTGCGGCTTCTTCAGAAAGAGGAACAACGCACACAGCAGCAACTCAGCAATAAGCTGCAGCAGCAGCGTGAACAGATCTTCCGCCGCTTTGAGCAGGAGATGACAGTGAGTCTAGAAATCTTCAGCTTGTATGTTTGAACAACAGCCTCCCTACAAACCATACTAGCAACACTGTAGAAGCTTTAATTCTCTGCCCCACTGTTGTACTCCTGAAGGCAGTTGTTGAAGGGTAGAACTGGAATCCATCTTTACACCATCCTTATAACCATGCGAAATAGGAACAGGTATAGGTCAGTCAGCTCTTTGAGTTTTCTGCACCATTTTATAAGATTGTGGCCTCAATTCCACATTCTTGCCTATTCCATACTCTCTTGATTTCCTTGTTGGTTAAAAATCTATCTAAAATAAAAATGTTTTTAAAAATATTCAAGAATCCTGCTACCAGTACGCTCTATTCATGACCCTCTAAGTGAGAAAAAGTTCTCATCTCTGTCTTAAATAGAAAAATCTATGTCCCTTGATTCTAGTGTCTCTCACAAGGGGAAAACATCCTTTCAACATCCACCCAGTCAAGTCACCTCAGGATCTTGTATCATTCAGTGAGATGACTTCTCATCCTTCTAAATTCTGCTGGACAAATGCCAACCTATCCAACCTTTTTTCTTAAAAGTCCTGTATCTGAACTGATTCTTATGTAGTTATATCCTATCCATAAGTAAAGAGACAAAGTTGTACACAGCAGTCCAGATGTGGTCTCACCAATTCCATGTCTAACTGTAGCAAAACATCCCTACTTCTATATACAAACCTCCTTGTAATAAACAACAATATCCAATTTGCTTCTTTAGCCACTTGTTGTACTTGCATACATGTCATTACTATCCATTATAATTAGTTCTGGCTCCAGTTCTTTTATCTGTGGCACATCAGCTATTATATTTGCTTCCTGTTTGCCATCCGATCTTCTATTTATATGAATATGTTACTGCCAATCTGATTCATTCAATCAATCTATATGTAAATTAAAATTACCCATGTTTATCATCAGACCTTTCTCTCAAACCCCGAGTATTTTGTCCCATTGTACATTTGAACACTTAGAGGACCCACGACCTTCTCCCGCAGAAGATTTCTTTGTGCTTTCTTATCTCTACCCAAACATCCCACAGCTTGATGTTTAGTACTAAAGTTATCTCTTTGTTGTATTATGGCCACCCTTAATTAATAGAGCTAACTCTTCACCTTTTCATTGCTTCCTGTACTTCTCAGATGTCATGTAACACTTTAATATTCAGGTCCCAGGCTTGGTTGTTTTGCAGCCAAATCTCTGTAATAGCTATAAGATTATGCTTATCTTATTTCAATTTGGACAGATCAATCATCATTTTTTTTTGTATGCCACACTGTTCCACAAGTCCTCTCAAAATTATAAAATCCCAATGAGGCCACAGAGATGACTGATTTGCCTGACTGGCTGCTATTCAGGATCAAATTCATTCTAGGTTCTGTGATTAACAGAAAATAACTATTTATTATAGCATACCTAACTTTAAAAAAAATAGCAGAGAAAAGAGAATTCTTCCAGTATGCCACCAGTTCCCTCAGTTGAACGTAAAATATCCGATGGTGACTATTTGAAAGAAGACCAGGCAAGTCATTGTTTATGAGAAACAGTTAATGCTTAAGATTGAACATCAATCTGAAACATTAATTCTGTTTCCCTCTCCACAGATGCTGCCTGATCTGAGTATTTCCAACATTTACTCCTTCCGATTTCTAGCATCCATTATATTTTAGTTTTGAGTTATTTCTGATATCCTGGCCGTTATTTATCCACAATCATCATAATTAAAGTGAGATTATCTGGTCAGTATCACACTGGTGTTTGGGAGCCAGGTGTGCACAAATAAACTGCTGTATTTCCTGCGTTACAACTTCAAAAGAATGCTTAATTGACTGTGAGGTACTTTGAGATGTCCTTGGATTGTGAAAGTCTGTATATAAATGCAAACTGTTCTTTGTTTCTATTCATGGATTATGGGCTTTCTCACAACCCTCATTTATGTGTTTTGTCCTTGGTTTTGTTGTTTATTTCTTAAAACTTTTCAGCTGCCTTTCCTTCTCATTCTTTTCTTCCCCCACCCTCTCCACGCAGCAGAATCTCCCCATCTTTCAACCACATGCCCACCTGTCCTTTAGCCCAAAACCATTTAAATGTGCATGTGCCAATTTAAGCAGTACATAACACATGCACTCGTGTCAGCAGACGCAGCCTTCTATAAATTCCTATTTAAAGACTTGGACAGTCAAAGCTCCCCATTATGATATTTCTATTATACTGTTTCTACATAGTGCACTGAACTGTCAGGAGATTATTTCCTCATATTTTGAACAACCAAACCATCTGTAAAACACTCAAATTATTTAGCATTATACATTTTAGCTCAATATGCACAGACTGGCAACGTCATCCCTTTCTAATGCTGAAGCCCTTTCAATTACTGATTCTCTGACCCTCTTTTGCTTTCATTGACACTTCAAAAAGAAGGCAAATTCTCACTCAGTGTTTAGCTTTTATTACAATCTGGGTGAAGCTTAGTATCAGCTACGTGCCTTAATGTTACAGAATTAATGATCTGGGGAATAGAGGTTCAAATCTAACAATGAAGTTTGAAAAACTAAATTTAGTTTAAAACAAATCTGGAAATTTACTATCAGAGAGAAGATGGAATTGTTTGCTATTAAATGCTGTTTGTAATTGGTCTACCTGGGTTTTTTCTATTCGTCTTCAGAGTAAGAAGCGTCAGTATGATCATGAAATTGAAAACTTGGAACGACAGCAGAAACAGACAATTGAGCGTCTTGAACAAGACCACACTACCCGCTTGCGAGATGAAGCAAAGAGAATCAAATCTGACCAGGAAAAGGAGCTGTCAAAATTCCAGAGCATGTTAAAAAATCGCAAAAAAGAGGTAAGAGACGACATTGGAAGAGAATGTAATTTGCCAACATATAATGCAGGTTGATGCACTGTCCAAAGGAAAGTACTGCTGGTCATTACACAGCCACGCGCCGCACAGTTCAGGGTGAGAGAGTGGTACATGGTCCAGAGGTAATAACTGTCCACTGCTCACACTGCACCCCTTAACTAGTAGCAACTGTACCAAGTCCAAGACAGTTAGAGGCCTGTGTATGGCAAATTCCTGATTTGCCAAAGTGCACCATTTTGATTAATATTCTCAAACATTGCAATGGGCAGTGCTTCTAATGCAGGCCCCAATTATTATTTTCTGCAGTTGGTTCTCTGAAAGATTCAATATCCTACTGCTCCACAGAGTGAGGAGTATGCAGGATACAAAATGGATGGCATTATCCTAAACAGGCACTTGGTGGTCCAGAGGTTGAATCTTGCTGACAAGAGATGTATGTTGTCAAAGCTTTTTGACTTGCAGTGACAAATGTAAGAATGCCACATTTCAAAACATCAAAATCATAAACGCCACAGGACAAAAAGAATGTTGATTGATTGGCAAGCCGACTTGTTTGGCCAAGGTGTTGCTATAGATAAAACACTGAAAAACTATAGGCTGTCCAAGCTCCCTCGGAATTCAAAAATACTTTGTCCATGGCAAAGCACTGGCCAATCAGAGTTGATTTGGAATCCAATCAGCACTGTTTATTTCCTGTGGTATAAACTTTCAACATTGAGTTACAAATTAGGGTTAGACCTGGAACACATTCTAGCTGCCTTCAGAATCAGGAGTTTTATAGGAAGATGTTCACTAAAACATGTTGCAATGTTGCCATTTCAAACTACTGTATGTAGTGGAGACATTGAGTTGCGGCTGTATCTTTAAGTTTCTGGTCTACCTGTCACTGTCTAAATCTATACTATAGACTAACTCTGCTGGTTAATGGGTAGTTTCCTGCCCAGACATATTCACCGCCTTAGCTACTTTACATTTAACTCCTTAAGATAAATGTGTATAAATTCAAATGTAAGCCAGATTTTCCAGTTCCTCAGTAACAAATGCTTAGTTGCATGTGCAGCTGAGAGCTAGGAGGGTTTGATATATTGGGATAGGAGATGTATTCAGTTAAGAATAGTTGGCATAAGGGTAAATCATCTTGGTGCCAAGATCTTAGTATTTATGTAGAGAGTGACCTCACTGGGGTTTAACCCTAACCCTGAATCTAAACCTGTCGCACATTCTAATCAGCTTGGGATCCTACTCCATTTTTTTATAGACTATGTTTTTCTGTAATGGCCAGACTGGTGAATATATCGTAAGGTAACATAGAACCAATGTGTTTGAATAGCATGTTGATTTCAGTAAGTTCGTGTGTGAAGAGTGCTTGCTTATTCAAGACTCTGGTGACCTGTTCAAGTACTCCAGAATCAACAACGTCAAGAGAACAAGGGAGGTAAGAAAGGCATATTATAGTTCAAGCAACAAAATCTAGTCAGTTTGAAGCAAATGTGTATAACACAGGAAAACAGCCCATCAAATCCAAAATCAGTTAGTGTCAGAGTAATAGGTCCCACCAGATTGGAGATCAGTCCATGTCATAGAAACATTAAAAACTAGAAGCAAGAGTTGGCCATTTGCTTGATCTTTTTACCCTGCTGTGCCATTCAGTATGACCATGGCTGATTCTCTATCTCAATGCCATATTCCCAGTTATCTCCATAACCCTTGGTGCCTTTTAACCTCATCTCAGTCTGAAATGATTTATCCTGAGACTGTCCTCAGGTTCTAGACTCCGCATCCAGGGAAAACATCTCCCTGCATCTAGTCTTTCCAGTTCTTTTAGAAATTTGACTTTTAATCAAATCCCCCCTCATTTTCTAAATGCTAGTGAATACAGACCCAACCGAAGCAATCTCTCCTCATGGGATAGTATCAGCCTAGTGAACCTCCGCTGCATTTCCTGTGTAGTAAATATATCCTTCCTTAGGTAGGAAGACCAGAACAGCACTCAGGACTCCAGATGTGGTCAAACCAAGCCTAATGAAACTGGGGGAAGTCATCCCTTCTTTAGAACTTAAATGCTCTTGCAATGAAGGTGAACATATCATTTGTCTTCTTTGTTGCTTGCTGCACCTGCCTGTCAACTTTCATCCACACTTGCCAATATATCTTGTTTAAATCATACTCTTCCTTTCTGTTTTTCACATAAGTGTAAAACTTCACATTCAGCCACTTTGTACTGCATCAGTCAAGTGTTTACCTATTCACTCAATGTGTCTACAATACCTTGAAGCTTACTTGTATTCTCTTTGTAACTCTCAATCCTGCCCAGTTTTGTGTCATCAACAAGCTTGGAAATGTTGCATTTGGTTCCTTCATCCAGGTCATTTGTATAAATGGTGAAGTGCATGGGCCCCAGCCATAGTCCTTGCAGTATCCCACTAGTCATTGCCTGGCACTCAGACAAAAGACCTGTATATTCGCACTTTCTGTTTCCTGTCTCTCAACCAATTCTTATCTGTACCAGTATATTATCCTTGTCCTATGTCCTATGTGTTTTAATTTTGCCCACTAACTTCTTGTGAAGAATCTTATCAAAAACTTTGTGAAAATCTAAATACACCACAAACACTGGTTCTCCCTTCTCTATTCTACTAGTTACATTCTCAAAAAACTTCAGTAAGTTTGTAAAGTGAGTCAGAGAAATGGATTCCACCAGTTTGGAGATTAGTCCAGTCTCTGTCCCTCAGAGTGGAGCAGCTATCTTCTGAGAAAAATCAGTGTGTCATCACAGGAAAGCAGATTGATGGCTGATATTTGGTCATTTGTCTTCAAAATCTTGTAATTCATTCTTAATTATAATATTTTACAAGTATAGTAAAGTTTACGAGCAGTGGGTAGTAGTTATTGGGAGTGAGTATGCTTATTAATTATAAGGCAATAAATAAATAACACTGATTATTACCATTATTAATTAACACGGCAGACTAGTTGGTGAATATTATATCTTGGGGACTAATGTTAAACAACCGGAAATTTGAAAGACAAGTTAAAACTATCTTAAAAAGTAACCAGATTAGTTACTGAACCTTGAATATTTTTGCACAGGGCAATCAGAAGGTTTATTGGTTGTAAGAAAAATTTGGAAAAGCTTTATTGATATTGGTAATATTTATTAAGAGGAGTAAGTTTTATCATCAGGGTTAATAACAGAGTTATGGATTAATAAATAGCAGAATGGAAGAGTTTCTCCAACTTCAAGTGTGTGCAGCCTGTGCTATGTGGGAACTCAAGGATGCTTCCCAAGTCACTGATAACTATTTGCTTGGGAGGTGTAATCAGTTGCAGAAGTTTCACCTCTGACTTTTGGAACTTGAGCAGCAGCTGGCATCATTGCAATACATCTCAGAGGCTGAGAGCTGTGTGAATAGCACATTCATACCTATGGGTATGCAGAGAGAGGAAGTTGATGACCATCAGACAGTCAAAAAAAAAGGGGACAGACTGTGCAGGAGTACCTTGAATATACCTAACTCTCCAACCAGTTAATTCATTTCTGAACACTTGTAAGTCATTGTTTATCTGATTAGTGCAGCTAAACCTTGTTCCTGGCACCACAGGTGACACAGTTGTACAGAGGCTCAAGGAAGACTGGGAGAGCCCTTGTGATAAGTGATTCAGCATTTATGGGAATAAATGGATGTTACTGCAGCCACAAGTGTGAATCCAGGATAGTGTGTTGGTGCCTGGTGCTAGGACATACGATATTACAGGGTGGCTGCAGAGCCCCCTGAAAAGATAAGTTATAGGGAGGTGGTCACACCCAAGTTACAGGACAAAGGTGGCTGGGTGACTCAGGAGGGGGAAAGGGAATAGGCGTACAGTGCAGGGAACCCCTGTGGCCGTTCCCCTCAATAATAAGTATACCGCTTTGGATACTGTTGGGCGGGGGTGACCTACCAGGGGCAAGTCATAGCAGCCAGGTCTCTGGCACTGAGCCTGGCTCTGGGGCTCAGAAGGGAAGGGGGGAGCACAGGAGATTCAATGCTATGGGGAACGGACAGGAGATTCTGTGGTACCGAGTGAGACTCCGGGATGGTGTGTTGCCTCCTGGGTGCCAGGGTCAGGGATGTCTTGGATCGAGTCTTCAGGATTCTTGAGGGGGAGGGGGAGGGAGAGCAGCCAGAAGTCGTGGTACACATCGGTACCAATGACATAGCTAGGAAACGGGATAAAGATCTGAAAAGTGAATAAAGGGAATTAGGATGAAAGCTGAAAGTCAGGACAAGCAGAGTAGGAATCTCAGGTTTACTACTGGTGCCATGGGCTAGTGAGGCCAGAAACCAAGAGCGAGTGCAGCTGAACACGTGGCTACAGAGTTGGTGTAGGAGGGAGAGCTTCAGGTTTGTGGATCATTGGGATATCTTCTGGGGAAGGTGGGACCTGTACAGGAAGGACGGGTTGCACCTGAACTGGAGGGGCACCAATATCCTGGGTGGGAGGTTTGCTAGAGCTCTTCGGGAGCGTTTAAACTAGTTTGGCAGGGGGATGGGAGCTGGAACTACGCATCAGACGATGGGGTAGCTGGTGCACAGGCAGATAGAGCAAGCAGAGAATCTGTGAGGAAGGATAAGCCGTTGATAGGGCAAAGTGGCAGTCAGTGCAACGGGTTGAGGTGTGTCTACTTCAATGCAAGAAGTATCAGGAATAAGGGCGATGAACTTAGAGCATGTATCAATACTTGGAGCTACGATGTTGTGGCCATTACAGAGACTTGGATAACACAGGGGCAGGAATTGTTGTTGGATGTTCCGGGGTATAGATGTTTCAAAAGAAATGGGAAGGGAGGTAAAAGAGGTGGGGGAGTGGCATTGCTAATCAGGGATGGTATCACAGCTGCAGAAAGGGAGGTCGTGGAGGAGGGTTTGTCCACTGATTCAGTATGGGTGGAAGTCAGAAACAGAAAAGGAGCAGTCACATTATTGGGAGTTTTTTTATAG